ATGGTAACCGACAGAATTATGGAAAAAAAAAACGTTTAACTTAGACAGGCGGCGCCTGCATCCGATTTTTCCATAATTAGGTTTTTCCCCATAAGGGTTCAAAATATCCCGGAAGTGATCCGAACCTTTTTTTTTCTTCCATAATTCTTGGAGGTGGCCATTATTTCCATAATTGATTTTTCCTGTAAAATCAGGGGGCTAGGGCAGATTGACCGGTTTTTCCATAATTATTTTTTCCATAATTAATGTTTGGGGCTCCACCTGTTGGACATGTCATGGATCCACAATTCAAACCCGTTTTTTTTTGGGGTTATGGAAGCGAATGGTGAAATGGGGTTTACGTGTACATATCCGTATACATGATATTATGTATATCAATGGTAGGCTTTGGGGGCATATACCAGATCTTTAGACACATATTTTCTATAATTCAATATTCCCCCTTAAAATGCATTCAAATTGCGAACATCACATGATATTATGTATATCAATGGAAGACTTAGGGGCATATACCAGATCTTTAGACACATATTTTCTATAATTCAATATTCCCCCTTAAAATGCATTCAACTTGCGAACATCACATGATATTATGTATATCAATGGAAGACTTAGGGGCATATACCAGATCTTTAGACACATATTTTCTATAATTCAATATTCCCCCTTAAAATGCATTCAAATTGCGAATCGATGGACATACAGTCACCGACAGAATTATGGAAAAAAATAATTATGGAAAAAATAATTATGGAAAAAAAAAAGGTTCGTAACTTTTCTATCATAGACAGGCGGCGCCTGTAAATTGAAACGTTTTTTTTTTCCATAATTCTGTCGGGTGCTGTAATCACCTGTAACTAATGGTGTGTTAGATATTATAGGGTTTACCGTGGTGATCATATGGAATTATATGGAATTAATCACCAGTTCGATCGAATATTGTTACCCTCTGGTAATCTAACATAGCTATGGAAAATCACAAAATCACCATTTGGAATACGTTTATCAACTGTAAATGAACCATTTCAGCTATGTTAAATTGCCAGAGGGTATATCTCCACAATATATATATATAATATATATATATATACCATATATAATTATATGGAATTAATCACCAGTTCGATCGAATATTGTTCTATCTCCACAATATTGCCTATTAATTGCCAGAGGGTATATCACCATAAGATCACAATAATATCACTGTTAATTAAAATAATTACCATTACTCACTATTAATTATGCATATATATGTATATATATTATACATTATATACATTATATATATATTATATATTATATTACATTACATTATATTACATTATATTACATTACATTATATTACATTACATTATATTACATTATATTACATTACATTATATTACATTACATTATATTATATTACATTATATTGTTGCAGTATATGGGTTAACTCCTCCACAGTGCAGGCCCGTACCTTGCAAGAGAAATTGACGCCCCAGATGCTGCAGCCGTACCTGGTAGAGGAGGGGGGGCGACGCAGGCTTTTTAAGGTGTTTCTATGGGACTCAAACCATCAATTCTAGTGGTTTTATGGGGTTTAAACCATCAATTCTAGTGGTTTTATGGGGTTTAAACCATCAATTCTAGTGATTTTATGGGGTTTAAACCATCAATTCTAGTGGTTTTATGGGACTCAAACCACCAATTCTAGTGGTTTTATAGGGTTCAAACCATCAATTCTAGTGGTTTCTATGGGGTTTAAACAATCACTTCTAGTGGATTCTATGGGACTCAAACCATCAATTCTAGTGCTTTTATGGGGTTTAAACCATCAATTCTAGTGGTTTTATGGGACTCAAACCACCAATTCTAGTGGTTTTATAGGGTTTAAACCATCAATTCTAGTGGTTTCTATGGGACTCAAACCACCAATTCTAGTGGTTTTATGGGGTTTAAACCATCAATTCTAGTGGTTTTATGGGACTCAAACCACCAATTCTAGTGGTTTTATGGGATTTAAACAATCACTTCTAGTGGTTTCTATGGGACTCAAACCATCAATTCTAGTGCTTTTATGGGACTCAAACCATCAATTCTAGTGGTTTTATGGGGTTTAAACAATCAATTCTAGTGGTTTTATGGGACACAAAACCACCAATTCTAGTGCTTTTATGGGGTTTAAACCATCACTTCTAGTGGTTTCTATGGGGCTCAAACCACCAATTCTAGTGGTTTTATGGGGTTTAAACCACCAATTCTAGTGGTTTTATGGGGTTTAAACCATCAATTCTAGTGGTTTTATGGGGTTTAAACCATCAATTCTAGTGCTTTTATGGGACTCAAACCATCAATTCTAGTGGTTTCTATGGGGTTTAAACCATCACTTCTAGTGGTTTCTATGGGGCTCAAACCATCAATTCTAGTGCTTTTATGGGACTCAAACCATCACTTCTAGTGGTTTCTATGGGACTAACCACCAATTCTAGTGGTTTTATGGGACTCAAACCATCAATTCTAGTGGTTTCTATGGGGTTTAAACCATCACTTCTAGTGGTTTCTATGGGATTCAAACCATCAATTCTAGTGCTTTTATGGGGTTTAAACCATCACTTCTAGTGGTTTCTATGGGACTCAAACCACCAATTCTAGTGCTTTTATGTGGTTTAAACCATCAATTCTAGTGCTTTTATGGGGCTCAAACCACCAATTCTAGTGGTTTTATGGGGTTTAAACCATCAATTCTAGTGGTTTTATGGGGTTTAAACCATCAATTCTAGTGCTTTTATTGGACTCAAACCATCAATTCTAGTGGTTTCTATGGGGTTTAAACAATCACTTCTAGTGGATTCTATGGGACTCAAACCATCAATTCTAGTGCTTTTATGGGACTCAAACCACCAATTCTAGTGGTTTTATGGGGTTTAAACCATCAATTCTAGTGCTTTTATAGGGTTTAAACCATATCAGCAATAGCTTTTTGAGCCATTCCCTTACGAGGATCCCACGAATCGTAACTGGGATGTTTTTTTTTGAGCCACCTAACCCAACTGGGATGCAGAAATATCCAAGTGTTGGTCAAAATGTAGGGGACCAGGAACATTTTTTATTGTTCCATTCAGTTGCGAATGTCATCATCCCAACTGACGAACTCATATTTTTCAGAGGTGTAGGGCTCAACCACCAACCAGTATAGAGATATATTAAGAGCACCCAGTTTTGGAGAAATCCCTCAAGTTCTGATAAAATGCCAATCGGTTTAGAGAGCGTTCTTCTGTTCGTCTTTTGTGATTTCCCTTAGCAAAAAACACACAGTGTGGTATATATATACATGTATATGTGGTAATATGTAGACATATATATATACACGTATGATTTATATATATATATACCATATACTGTATGTACACACCGAATCAGCTAAAGAGAAAACATGAGGTGTGTTTGCAGGGTATCCAGTTGGTTGAAGACAATACTTTCAGATCAGGCACTTGTTCTTCATGTCAAGCCACGATTCAGAAAGCCAGGTGATACAATTCAGTATAATTCAGTCATATTTTTTTCAAGTTTGTTGGTGAGTAAGCGATCTCATTGGTTCGATATATCATGATATATCTGCAGTAGCTGTCATGTTGGTAATAATTCTTATATATATATATATTATCAGAATATTCTGCATGATATTCATTCTTATCTTACAGTAGCTATCATTCTTATATTCGATATATAAAAAATCATGTTGGTAGCCTTCAACGATAAGTTCGTGAATCTCTGGTACAAAATTCTGCCAGATCAGACAGTTCACGTTAAAGACAAACTCCATTGAATCTCCGGGACGAGATATTTTAGGTATTTCAGACATTTCTTACTTTGACGGCGAGGGAACACAAAAACTACGAACATATATATATATATTATATCCTTATATATTGTTTATGGATGTATTTATCTCTATCTTCATCGGAACTTTTTTTTTTTTCGCAAGTCTAACTTTGACATCACAGGTTTTGGATGTATAAGAAATCTTTCGTTATAGGTAACTCCTGGGAACCACACATGGCAAGGGGAATTCTATGTCTTTGAACATGATATTCATCTATGCATGCATATTTGTCTCTGTCTCTGTCTCTGTCTCTGTAGATGCCAACAGGAAACAATTGGCTATTTGGGGGGAGGATTTCCTGTTGGCTTTCATATTTTTCGATGATCCTCCAAGTAAACGGTCACTAATCATCCTAAATTATCGCGGTTTTATCCCAGAGTTTTCTTCATTATAGAGCAGCCAAAAAAAAACGATTTTACCATTATTCTTCTTGGCCAAGAATCCAAGAATCCTCTAGTCTTCCAATAATGTCCTATGAATCTCCAGTAAATCTCCATGAAATTCGTCATGGATAGAGCAGCGACAGGTCCCAGAATCGGAAGAAATAAAACAGGAAGCCCCTACAGATGGGGTAAAGTGACGTGTGGAAGCCATGAGCCCATTTAGGCCATTTATAGCATTTTTTTAGCTACAAAGAATCGGAAGATTTGCCACATCCCATGGTGAGTTTACGGGAAAATCATCCCATGGTGAAAAGCAGGAAGCAAAAGCCACTGCAAAAAACAAACGCCGCGCCGCGCCAGTGATTCTGTGGTATTGTGTGGTTCAGTGGCACCTCTGGGTGTTGGGAAACCCTGGCGAAAGCCGAAAGCGAAAGTTTTTCACTCCACGACTGGTGAACAACTCTGGAACCGCAGCAGCTAAAAACAGTGTTTTTTTGTTGGTGATCAAAGATTAGCCCTGGTTTTGCAGTCTGAAAATTGGGTCTGTCACTGGGGAAAGCAACAAAAAAGGTCGAATCAGGACTTATACAGCAGACAACGTATTTAAAAACGTGTGTAGTTAGAAACGTGTACCATCATTATGTGGGAATGATTATATCATATTATATCATTATTTGGCATCTATCATGATTTGATACCAGCTATCATGATTTGTTTCACCCATTTTTCACCCATTTTTCCAGGGAAAATCTAGCTGTTCACCATGCTCTCCAGTGCTGATGGCGATCTAATAGAGCTGCAGCTGATCTGTTTGAACGGTGAAGGATGTACGCTAAGCGTCAGCCCTTCCACTCTGGGCCGGAGGGTACCTTGGGATTTATATTGGATTTATGATATGAAAATTGTGGTCGGGGAAAAAACAACTTACAAAGTGTCGGTTTTTGGTGTGAAAATCGTTGGGAATATTATTGGGGGAAAAAACAAGTGTCGTTTTTGGAAAACGTGAACTATTTTTGGTGTGTCATCTTGTGTTTTAAGATTCATATGTCTTGGCAGAGTTTGGACGCTTCAATTTTTTTTGATGAGAGGAGACTGAAGACGCTGATTTGGATGATTTTAACCAGCAACAAATTAAAGACAGGGGGATGGAAGGTGATAGAACTAGTATAATTGTGTGTTTGCGTTCGGAATCATGATGGATTCAAGCAGCATCAAATCGGAATACTAACCAATGAATGATGAAGTGGCTGGCTGTTGGTTTTATTATGTTTTATTGTTTATTTTCAATCTTGGGGATGATAAAAAATGGCGTTGGGTTTAGGAGGTGTACTCCCTGCGAATCAACCATGGCTGGACAGTGTTGGTTTCATTGCAGGAGGGCCATGGGTTTCTTTTGGGCGCTTTTAAAACTTTTGGGTTGCGAATCTATGAGTGCTAGGACCTAGGAAAACTCGAAAGGTAACAAGCACGGTTTCCCCGTGGTGTAGATTTTGGTTTTCTCTTTAGCCAATCCACACAGGTACGTAAGATGGTCTTGGAACAACTTCCAAAGAGAGGTGCAAAGCCTGTGCTCCACTGGAACGCTTCAGAATTGTTGCTCCACAAGACGTTGCGGGAGCAAGGCATTGTGGGTAACTTAGTCATACTCTTTGATGTCTAATCATGTTTGCTTTTTTTCTTTTCATGGGTTTGCCTGTACAGTATGGTTTTATAATATAAAGCACTGAAGTTTAAACATTTAACAGGGCATGAACAAACCAAGGTAAAAGTGCGATATTGTCGTGCACTTTTCTTCCCACAGATCTACATGCTGCATGGTGTTACCTCCAAGGACTCCCTGTGGCTGAGGAAGGTTTTGCGTTGGAAGGGCTGACGAGGATTGAAGGTACAGACTCAGGTGGTTATTTGTACCATCTTCCAAAAAGCCTCGAAAGTTTGATTCTTGGCGACAAGTTCGATGTGACCCTTCAAGGAGTGAGCCTGCCAAACACTCTGCAAAACTTGACCTTTGGTGCCAGGTTCGACCAAAGTCTCGAGCGTGTGAACTTGCCAAGAAATCTGCAAACATTGACGTTTGGTGACATGGCAATTCTTAGCCATTCCCTTGGTCTTAGATGTTCATATTTTTTTAATGGTAACTATTAAACGTAACTCTAGGTTTTCCTAAAAATCGTGACCTCACGTCGTGACGATAATGTATGACTGGGGATGGATGAAATCATAGATGTCCCAAACTCCCATTGGTTGGTTGATTTTCATAGAGGGGTTTCTTCAGAAAGCCCGAAATAACAACAGGTACATGATTTTTTAGTGATATATAGTGATGATAGATGGGATTAACCAGCTCCCGGCCCCTCTATTTTTACCATTTTAGGACATCAAATTGGATAACTGTTCCTTGAACTTTTAGCAGCTGGATCCAAGAACGAGGCGACTGGTTTAACCAGAGCCTAAAAGGAGTGGCCTTGCCAAGCACTTTGCAAAGCCTGACTTTCGGTGATGGCTTCGTTCAGAGTCTCGCAGAGGTGTCGTTGCCAAACAATTTGCGAAGCTTGAAATTTGGGTGCAAGTTCAACCAGAATCTTGGATAACACTGGTGATATAATGATAAATCTATTTGAGATAAATAATTTAAATGATATATAACATACATGTTGATCATTATATTGGTGATATATATATATATATTGAGGTCTGCCCCCGCCCACTAACAGTTCAAAACTGCCCTGGATTTGCTGAAAATTATTCTTTGCATTTTCCCATTGACTAATCCACCAGAACTGGAACATCTACCTCTCTCTCTCTATATATATATAATAATATATGCATATATATATATGCATATATTATTATTATATATATATATACATATGTATATATATATACACATATGTGTGTGTATATATATATATATATGATGTATGTATGTATGTATATACATGTTTTTCGGTGCCCTGCGTTGCACATCCAAGGAATCTTGAGCACGTCACCTTCCCAAGCAGTTTGCAAGATTTGACCTTTGGCATTTGTTTCGACCAGTCCCTTGAGGACGTGAAGTGGCCAAGTAGTCTGCAATGCCTGACATTTGGTGACTGGTTTAACCAGAGCCTGGGAGGAGTTGCCTTGCCCAGCAGTTTGCAATGCCTTACTCTCGGGAAGAACTTTAACCAGAGTCTGGCAGGGGTGACATTCCCAAGCAGTCTGGAAAGCTTGACCTTTGGTTGGCACTTCAACCAAAGCCTTGAAGGAGTGACATTTCCAAGCAGCCTGCAAAACTTAAAATTTGGTTGGCACTTCAACCAAAGTCTTGACACTGTGACGCTGCCAAGCACACTGCAAAGCCTGACCTTAGGTTTCATGTTCAACCAGAGCATCGAAGGAGTCAGCTCACTAAGGAATCTGCAAAGACTGAAATGTGGGGAGAAGTTCAACCAGAGCTTTGAAGGAGTTTCGTTCCCAAGCAGCCTGCAAAGCTTCACTCTATGTAGCAAGTGCCTCCAGAGTTTTGAACGAATAGCCTTGCCAAGGACTCTGCTGCCTGGACTTTGGTCGACGTTTTTTCTTTTTGTCCTTGGCATTTTTCCCCAGCATTTCCACCAACATATGATAAATCAGGAAGTTTTCATGGCCCTCTCAAGCCAAGGCTCTCCTTGACTTTTGGTTATGAATTTAACCAGAGCCTTGAAGGTGTGACTCTGCCGAGCACTTTGCAAAGCTTAAAATTTGGTCAGATGTTCAACCAGAGTCTTGAGCAAGTAAGCTTGCCAAGCAGTCTGCAAAGCTTGGAATTTGGTGAGATGTTCAACCAGAACCTTGAAGGGGTAGCCCTGCCAAACTCTTTGCAAAGCTTGAAATTTGGTGGAAGGTTTCGGCAGAACCTCGCGCGGATCAACCTACCAGGCAACTTGCAGAATTTGACTCTCGGTTCTGGCTTGAACCAGAGCCTTGAAGGTGTGACCTTGCCTAGGAACCTACGAAGCTTGAACTTCGGTGACAAGTTTAATCAAAGCCTTGACCGTGTAAGCTTGCCACACAGCCTGGAAAGCTTGACCTTCGGCTTCTGGTTCAACCAGAACCTTGACAGGGCCACCTTGCCGAGCCGTTTGCAAAGCTTGAAGTTCGGCGTGATGTTTAACCAGAGCCTGGAACACACGACCTTGCCACGTGGCTTGCAGAGCTTAACCTTCGGACATGACTTTAATCAGAGCCTTGACCGAGTGAACTTGCCAAAGAATCTGCAAAGCTTGGCTTTCGGTGCCCTGGATGCCCTTAAAAAATATGCTGAGTTGATTTTTTTTTGGTGGTTTGGAACATTTGGATTAATTTTCCATTTCATATATGGGATAATCATGGATAATCATCCCAACTGTTACTCACCAATCATCATTTTTCAGAGGGCTAGGGCGAGCTCAACCATCAACCAGTGATTTTTTTTTAATGAAAAATGCCATGGATTTTCGATGATTTGGTCAATCCACCACTCCACCCACAGAGTATCTCTGGGAATCTCCTAAGGTGCGGATTTCAACCACAGCCTTGAAGGCGCGAGCTTCCCCCACCTGCGAAGCTTGACGCTGGGTCAGGGGGTCAAACTTTCCACCCAGTGACAAAAATTTAACCTGGACCCTGCGAAGCAGTGTTCACGTTGATTGTCGAGAAATCTTTGCATATCTGATAGCACAATGAGCACATCATGTGTAAACTTAAGATTCCGGAACACATTAGTATTTCATTGGTATAATGCACACGGCTGCTTTGTTTTCATTGATATTTCACCATCGACATTTTCAGATTTCAGGATACCTTTTGTGTGCACGTCGATTCCCACGTGGCACCAGCTCCACAGTCAGACTGGGACAATGATTGGGAAGCCAAGCAGCGGCGTCCACATGAGCAGTGTGAAACAAACCCCTGTTGGTTGATGATTAATTGGGGGATTATAATACCCTTTATATATCGGGAATTATCATAATCCAAGAACGGGGAATCCCTTTCTTAACCAACCAGGATTAAATGTAATGATGGAGGGATTTTGAACACTGCTCACATGATGCGAGTCTCAACTGTTTCTGTGTGCGAAAATGATGTTTTTTTTGGCCGTATACTCCCAGCAAAAAAAACATGTTAATGGTGATGATTAGGTATAAGGAATAATAAGGGTGATTACCCTCTGGTAATTTAACATAGCTATTGAAAATGGCCATTTATAATAGGTAAATCAACTATAAATGGGCCATTTTCAATAGCTATGTTAGTTTACCAGAGGGTAACTTATGGATCCAATGGGGTACCATATTTTCGTATTTTCGGACAAACCTAACTGTTGGTCTATTTTCGTGCGAGGATCCATAGCCAGCAAGCTGGCTGGAGGTTTAGTAGTTTTGCGTGAAAAAAAACGGGACCCCCAAATGTGCAATGTTTCTGTATCTAAAATTTTGGGAGTACCCTCTGGTGAACTAACATAGCAATGGAAAATGGCTATTTATAGTGGATTTTCCCATTAAGAATGGTGATTTTCCATTGCTATGTTAGTTCACCAGAGGGTAACCAATTTTTGGGCAATCCCAACCATGTTTATTCACGTTCCTATTTGTGATGCTGATTCCCAATGACCAACATACATTTCTCTAGAGAGGATGCAACCCCCAACCAGCCAACCGATCAAGACTTCCCTTATCAAGAATGGGGATATCAGACTGCAGCCTCAATTGGTTTTTAGAGACACAAGTTCTACTTGTACGGATTGCAGATGGTACACATATGTGGCAACGGATTCTTCAGCATGAAAGCAGGTGACTTACATTTTGCAATTGTGGAGTTACCAGTGTCGGGTTGAACTAGCAAAGTGTTATGATTAGTAGATGTATGTCTAAGCCCGTGAAGAAAATGCATGACTATGTTGCAAATTTTGGAAAGGGCCACTATAGACTTTCCAGCAGGGTATGAATCAGTCCTCTCTGTTGGAAGTGTTGCGCAACCTTTGCTGCGTTGTGAGTCACTTCCTAAACATTTTAATTGTTGTTTGATGCACCCTCCGGCAATCGAACGTAGCAATGGACAACTCCTCATTCATAGATGATTGGATTTCCTAGCCAGCCACCTTTGATTACCAGAGGATATCGCATTTCTATGCATTTCTTGGTTTATACCCTCCGGCCTCCGGTAAACGTTTACAAAAAAAAAAACTCTGGAAAGATCCACCATTTTTAATGAGAAAACTCACTATTTCAATGGCCATTTTCACTAGCTATTTTGACATAACCAGAGGGTACCCCCCGAAACAAGTGACGTTTGAACACGTCATTCGGGTTTCGGGGCCCTAGGGATGAATCAAAACACGGTCATCGGGCTTGGAAACTGAAAATGGTTATTTTCAGGGTCTATGTGAATTTACCAGAGGGTAATTGTTGTATATTTGCTACTAACTTGTAGAAGAGAGTTCTGCTATATGTTTATTGAGATGATGCAAAAGAGAACTTTGAAAGCTTAAACGCTTCACCCATTTGATTTTTTTCTGTGTCTGAACATGAGGTATAACCCCCCCAACATATCCCAACACGATGATTCAATAGGGAAGAGTATGTTCTACAGCGATGGATTTGTGGTTTTCAATTGATGATTTTCAGATTTATGTAAATCCAACAGATATTGTTGGCGATGTATCCCATTGTATATCCCATCAGTTTCTTTTTTGCAAAAAAAAACATTCAAATACTGCAACTATCTGGGTAAATTATAGCGACCTCACTGTTCTCCCTCACTGGAATCATGGGTAGGATTCGGGGAATCATCCCAAATGGCCTTGATTCAGGTTAGTGAAATATTATTTACCCAGAACTATGAATTGGGCCAACATGCATTGAGATTGTTATCCCCGCTATATCCTCGTTGTATTCTCAATTGTATCCAAATTAGAATATCCCGGTTTTAAGCCATGTCCAGTAAAACATCGCATGACTAACCCCATAAATGGGGAACCCCATTCAACCAGTTGTTTTGTGATATCAATCGATATCGTCTATTTTTTCCAATTCAACACTTCCATATATAATAAACATATTTCCATTTTATCTTGGTAAAGTGACATATACCATTAGTTCCCGTTCACCATGAATCCACATTGAGCAGCATAGATTCCCAGAATATTACCAAGTCTTCCCTCTGGTGATCAAACATGGCATACTGGAGAATACTCCTTTCGTTTGATGATTTTCCCATTTACTAGGTCAATCGACTGGATGGGTAGAAACTAGTCCTAACTAGTCTTTTGGTATCGGACTATCTACTAACTAACCAGCTAAGAATTTGTCATTTTTTGCAGGGTATCTAAGTTTAGCCATGTTCATTAGAATCCCATTAAACTTTCATTTTGGATGGTTAAGCCAGTTCATTTTCAGTTAGCTGGGTCATTCTACCAATTCAACTAAACCACCATTTCTGATGGTTAGACCATGTTAAATCCATTAAATCCATATGGAGGTTCCTAAAGTGAGGGTACCCTCAATCATCCATTTTACTCGGATTTTCCATGAAATAAACCATCCAGCGAGCTCGCTTGGGGTACCCCCATTTGAAACCCGCTCCTTTCTTCGAGCGAATCGGCAGGAGGTGTTGTCAAGCTCCCTGCATGCCGCCTGCTGCCAGCTTCAACGCGACTCCTTTGCGGAGCAGAATCGAAGTTTCGGGCCAAGATCTGGGCATGTGGAAGATGTGGAAAGAGTTGTTTTTTTAATGGTACCCTCTGGTTATGACTAACATAGCCATGGTATAGATGGCCCATAGAAATAGATGGTTTACCTGGGTTTACCTAATAAAAATGGTGATTTTCCATGGCTATGTTAAATAACCAGATGGTAAAGGTTTACATAACTATGGAACATCACCATTTCTAATAGGTAAATCAGCTATAAATCAGAAGTAGCCTCTGGTAAACTAAGAGTTTGCTATTGAAAAAATGGCCCATAGAAATAGTTGATTTAGCTCTTAAAGTGGTGATTTTCCATAGTTTTTTGTTAACGTTTACCAGAGAAATAGCGGAAAATTCCTCATGCGGAATATGAGTGGAATATTCATATTATTACTGGGATGTTGTGGGAAATGTGGTGGGGATGGATCAACACCTGAAGGTTTTTCAAACATGGTGAAGCATCCCCGATTGGGTCTATGTTGATCGGGAGGATGACATAGGGAATATCCCCCTAGTAGTGGATAGATCTGGGTAAATTTCATCACGACCAAGCCCTGGGAATCATGGTTAGGATTCGGGGAATCATCCCCAAATGGCTGCAAGATTCATTTTAGTGAAATAACATACTTTACCCAGACATATGATATATCTGTGAATATAATATATATATATATCTCTGTGAATATATATATATATTTGTGATATGATATATCTGTGAACATTCTTTCACAACCTTGGAAGTACGTCGCCATAAATGACGCCCTTAGGCTTTGGGGAGCCGTTCCATATTCTAACCCCCCTATCCGCCAGTTCGATGATCTTCCCAGCGAACGATGATCCCTCCATGGCTAGTTTGGGTGATTTCTCAGCCATGTGAACGATGGCACCTTTTGATTTGGGAAAATATCGAAGTGTTCGCCCAGATTCGTAAGGACATGTTGGACCAATAAATTGAGGATTTCTTAGCCCAGATTTCTTAGCCCAGATTTTTCGGACATGAAATTGGGGAGTTGTTGTAAGAACCAATAATCTGGAGGGATTGTGGCAGCAATTTCCTAGATATCTCATGAATATCCTATAAATATCCCATGAATATCATATATAATATATAAATAGAGCACAATGTCCCATATGGATAACTTTTCTCACAACTTTGGAGTAGTTGAGAGACAAACACATGGGATATTAATGGGATGTCATGGGATATGTTGGAATTCCCCACATAGTAAGATTTACCTTTACCCTCCAGTAATCGAACGTGACAATGGACAATCCCTCATTAATAGATTATGTTCCCAGCTATAAACCTCTATTCATAGCGGATTTCCCATTGCCATGTTTGACTACCGGAGGGTAATGAATAATTGAATAGTGTGTGTTTACATCTTCCTCTTTTCGAGTAAAGCTTTCAACAAGTCAACATATGTCAACACGGATCACAGAGTGAGTCATGGGCCACAGATCATGGGTATACATGTCACCACCTAGAAATGGCATATCATGGGACATCACCTGCATTTTTTTCGGACATTTGGATCTTTAAGTGCTTTGTGTCCCATAATTTCAATATATTCAATATATTTCAATCCTGGATGACTGAACCCCAAACGGCAGTTTTTAATTGGGGGTACCATTTAAGTATCACATTCTTAGGGTGGAGCGGGCATCCAGGAAACGGCCCCCAAACGATGGGTTTCTGTTGGTAAACAAACATAACTTGAAATGCCCTTTCCGTATAACCCCATCAGCCTTAAAAAAAAACCGCCCCCTTTCTATGGTCCCAATGGAATGTGGAAATTCCCTACATCCACCATGGTTTCGTTGGATGTTTAATATGAACGGGGTGAGTCCACCCGGCCAAGGTTTGCGCTCCAAAGCGGAAGGTTTGCGCTCGAAAGTGTTGCAAGAGACACAACAGGACCAGATCTTTTCATCCCGTGGATGGGCCAGCGAAATCCGATAAACCACCAAACGGATGGTTGAAACCCTATAACTGGTTGGTGGTTTGGAA